AATGGAGATGTTTTGCACTGATGATTTTCGTGGGCGGAGAATAACAAATTTACGAGCAAAATCCTTCTCGCCTTGATTTTGTCTGTGAATGGAGGTGCGATGTGTTGATCTTGTCCATGCATGGAGGTGTCTTTTGGGCCTAATCATTGGGCTTTGACTTGTGACTTGCATTTTTAACCCTTCTTTAGCATTAGTTTGCTCCCCTCTCCTGAAAATATCCCATATTCACTAGGTGAGGATTTTTATCTCAATTTACTCTTAATTTGTACATTAGTGCTTAAGTAAATGAGCGAAGTATACAAATATATGTATGTAAAATTCCCACTTATCAAAATGCTACTGTTTTCCTCCTCCATATTTCAAGTCGTGTGTTTGCAATCAGTCATTCTTTTCAAGATTTCAAATCTGAATCATATGTTCTTCAGTTTGAAAAATCTCCAAATACAATTCTGTTTCCTCCCTCAATTGATATTGACTTCGTTATAATGTGTTCCCATGAGGTTTCAATTTGTTGAGATTATTGGGCTACTGTCAAATTGGATTCAAGATACGTCTTTTAGCATGAAGGAGTATATTATCCAACCCAAATCTGATTTCTAGCTTTGTTTCTTAAAGTTATGACATTAATTTTTTTTAATTTCAGTTAAAGGTTAATTGAGTGATTTTTAGGGATAGTGTTATATGAAGATTATTTTGATTTAAAATCCTTAGATATTGCAACCATTTTTCTTATTATTTCCTTTCGAGTTCCATATGAGAATTCAGCTAGTTTGAAGAATTTGTTTGTATAACACATCCTCAAGTCAAAAGAGGAGTGAAGCATCCAAATAGCTAGTCTGGTTCCTTTTCCTCTCGTGGATTTTTATGAACAATGTTTTTGGCAAGCACGAAACTATGTGTATCATAATTGTAGATAATTTATTAGAACTTGCCGTGTGAGGATTTTTAGAACCCTTTTAGAAGGATCTCATGCTGGGTAAATCAATAAGATTTCATAAGTGTGAAGATCAATCTTGTATATATTAAACATAGGTTCCAACAGTTCATTATTCAAATTAACTCTATTATTTTATTTTCATCAACAAAAATAATGGTATCTTGTGAGATTTCAAGAATATCCACAAATACTCAAATTAATCACATCATTGTGTGAAATAATAAGTTCTCATTTATTTTATGGCTTATTAATTTACGTATAGTAAATAAATAAATAAATTTTTAAAATAATAATATAATAAACATTAAAAAATTAATTGTGTAATAAATATTACTTTCATATAGCCATGATTAGACAATTAGGTATTTTTGTCATGTGAGCTTCTTGGATTTAGGGGTGTTTACGGGACAGGATGGGACAGGATCGGGACACTCCTGTCCCATGTCTTGTCACGAAAAAAGATCGAGACTGAATTTTTATCCCGTGTCCCATCTCGTTCCATTAGGAATTGGGATGAGACTGGGATGAGATCGAGACGTCCCGCCATCCCGATAAATCGCACAATGTTGGAAAAAGATTTAAATAATAATATTCATTAAAATTTTAAATCATATAATTTATTAAGTTTAACATCAAAGCAATACAAGTATATAAATCACAACAATTTAAAGTCAATTATTGAATTACATTAATCATAATTACACATTATGATAGCAATTGCAAGTGATCTCTAAGCTATAAGAGTAGCAATAACAGGCAAGCCAAACACAATATTAAATTATTGTTCTTTTACTTTAGAAGATGTGCTAAGCTAATTATTCTTCCAAAAATAAATCAATAAATATGATATAAATAAAATTTATTAAATATATAGATATAAGAATAAATTGTATTACTATAATTAATATATTATAAATAAAGATATCACCCCATTTACTCTATATTCTTAAAATTATCAATAAAAAAAAACTTTAGTTTTATATAAGAATTGCAAGTATTGAAATTGTAATTGATATAATTAATATAAGTATAAATTATATTAATATATTTAATATATTTAATGTGTATTTTTAAAATAAAAAATAATATATATATATATATATATAATATTCGGGACGGGACGAGACGTCCTGATGGTAATCCCGTGTCCCGTCCTGTCTCAGAGCCCTTTTCTGTCCCGTCTCATAAAGTCCTGTCCCAATTGTGTTCGGATTAGGATGAGACCCGTCCTGATATAATTGGGACGATACCAAGCCAATTGGGACAGGTATAAGCTAAACACCCTTACTTTGATCTCCATAGACATTTAATAAAAGCATATTACTTTGTGAGTTAATAACGCTTTATAATATAACAGTTAAGATTCTTTTATAACAAAATATATAAGCTTAAAGAATTTAATATATATATATATATTATATACCTTTTTGTCATGTGAGATCTTTGAATCTCTATGAATATTTAGGATAATCATATTATTTCGTGATTCAGTAAAATATGTGAGATCTATATATCTATGTAGGTAGATATAATCGATTGAGTTGTCATGTGAAACAATAAGTTTTTGTTAGCATTTTGATATCTCAAACAAAAAGAATTCAATCTCTTGTTATAATATAATTTTTTTTCTTATTCCAAAATTTAAAAATTGGAGAAAATAATTAAAATTAAATTACTTTTGCAAGTCAAAACGTAAATTTTAGAAAATTATTTTATTTTTCAATGGTAAATCATTTTTTATTAATTTCTCTCTTTAAAAAGTAGAAATGGTGTAAATATATTTTTAAAATTAAAATAAAAACAAGTGTAAGAAAGTGAAGCTAAATTATCTTTGGAAATTAAAACACACCAATCCATATTTTAGAAAATTATTTTTCTTGCAATGGATAAATTATTTTCATTTGACTTTCTTTGTTGATGAATAATATAAATTAAAAAATTACCAATCCAATGACATGTATTTTAACTCTTGAACTACATAGACTTTGATTCTAATTGCAGAGTACTAAGCCTCAAACTCTAATTTTGGGTTAAGTCCACTCTTGTAAATAAATAAATAAATATTTCCTAATTTTATTATTTAAATTTTACATCTTTTTTATGTTTTACATGTGAATGAGAAAGGGTAATGAAAACGATTATTAAGGCCATGTAAAATAGCACAATCAACTTAAAGTATTCATTCTCACAAGAGGGTGTTATAGGGTGCCTAATACCTCCCCGGTACATAACCAACTCCTGACCCATATTCTAATTACACAGACCATTCTTATCCCATTTAAATAGTTTTTCAAGATTTTCATAAAATTTTGGTGGCAACCCCTCATTAAATTAGTTTTTCATTCCAAATGCCAAAATCTCTGCTTTCGCATGCCGTCCACATCACATTTTCAAGTGTGACACTATCATTTCCTTATGAAACTTCGTATTCTCTAAAATCTCAATTGCTTGGACACCTAAAGGAAATTTATGGTGAAGGATTTTGGGAACTTACAATTGCTAATTACTAGCTCACTCGAAGACATAGCTCTTCTAGCATGCTTGGCAAACACAAGGGGCACAACGCTTTGAAATCCAAACCAAACATGTACTTATATGTAATTTTATGGGTTTTTTCAATAATTTTTAGGTAGTTTTGGTCAACTAATGATTAAAATTAACATTTTTAATAGTAGAGTGCTAGTGCATCATTTTCAAATGTTAAAGGAGAAAATTACACCACATATAAATTTAGGATACTAAATGCTCTTGAACGAATAGTTGAGGAGAAAAAATACCCTTTCACCCAAATTTATATGTGCTAATTTTACAATTAGGTGATATTTGAAAGATTAAAGTTTTTTTAATGAAAATTTGCAAGTTTTTACATTAGCATATCTGAACCCCTTCACTTTATCCAATAAGTAGTCATATTTTTGCCACTAATAACATATTCTATGACTTTCCTGGAATAACAATTATGCATGACTATGCCAAATAATGAAGAGGGTTACACGCTGTCTCAATTTTTGGTCTGACAAATCTTAAAATCACATCAGGAATATAATTGTCAATGGAAGAGTTTGTTATTTGGTATCGTATTCCTAGCTGTGTTGATGGTTTTTATACTTCATAACTTCATTTCAACAAGGAGTAATTGAAGATAATGTCAAAGGTTTCAATCAAGCATAAGTTAGATGAAGGAGGTTTTGGTTCTCTATACAAGTTGAAAACTAAGGTGTGTGTAGCTAATTTTGCATTCAAAATGTTGGGCAAATCCAATATTAATGGCCAAGAAGCAATTATTGTGAGGATATATACCAATATAATTCAATGTGATCCACACCTTAATGGATTTTGTGTTGAAGAGATAAAGCCTGCTCTTGCATGTCTATAAATTCGTCCAAGGGGATCTTTGGATATATATATATATATATATATATATATTTATTTATTTATTATTTATATTTTTTCAAAGATTATATCACCACCTTAAGTTATTTCAAAATATGAGATATTTTTATGAGTGGTTCATGGGATTGCTTAACTTTATTATGGGTGTGGTGTGAAAATATTGCATTTTAATATCAAGTTTTATGATAATTGATGACACCTTTAAAGATTTTGGATTTCAAACTGGCAAGATAATATCACTACTAAAAAATACATGTTCTAGAGTGGGTCTTTCGGAACGTTTTTAACTTTGACTACTGTGAGAGGAACAACAAAATACATGGCATCATTTTTTAAGACTTATTTATAATTAATGTTTTTCTATCAAGGACCTATTGTGACTTTCTCAAAAATTATTGAAGAAGCAATCAAGAGATGCTGCCAAGGATTGGATGGTTTGGATAAACTTGACATAAATATAAATGTAATAACCCAGGATGTTTAAGTAAAATTAAAATATATAATAGTGTGTTTTAATTGTATTTGGATTAGTTTTGGAAGTATTTTAACAAGAATGATTGTTGGTCTAGTGGGAGTTGCATTGGTAATTTACATGTATTAAGTCATGAGTTCGATTCGATTCTTGCTAATGCAAAAAGAAGGCTTTTCAGTTAGGTTTCAGTTTTGCAAAATTACCATAATACCCCTCTTTTTAAAATAGAACACACCAGATTTTTAGATTTTTTTTTTTCCATTCCTCTTCTTTTCCGTCGGCTACAATGAGAGAGAGAGAGATTGAGAATGCTTTGAGAAATTTCCTCCTCCTCTTCTATGATCGTTCATTGCCAGTGAATATGGGTGCATTGTCCACTACCGTTGTGGGTGTTAGGGAGCTTGCAAATCCTCTGTTCTTCCCCCTCTGTTTGTGTTGCAGCTGTGAGTGTTGTTGGCCATTCTTCTTCTATCTCTTCTCTGCCATCAGCTCATTATCACCATGGTTAAGCACCGAAGCTTCATCTATCATTTGAGCATGAGTTTCTGTTTCCCTTCATGCCGTCGACATTCCTCTTCTTCTTCTCTTTCCCTCTTCCATGCTCAATGTCCAGCCTGCCCTTGTTCAGTGTTGTAGAGTCTTCTTTCCTCCTCCCTATTAATATGCCCAGAACCTTCTCCTTCCTGCTTCTATCATAGTTGAGGTAAGGATCTTGGAGTCTCTTCTCCTTTGCTGGTCCTCTATGTGTGTTTTACTGTTGCTATGTGTGCTTGATGGCTGGAGAATGTGATTTTCTTTCCTGCTCTATCGTTTGTGATTTTGGTTAGAGGGGGATTTGAGTAAAATGAAATTTAAAGTTTAAGACAACTTGAATTTGGTTAAAAAATAAATTTGTCACACCCCAGTATTAAGAGTATGACTGGCATGGAATATGAGATAAACTCATATTCCATAAGCCTTGATTAATTAGAGATTAAGCTAAAATATCGATAGTTAGTTTATATATATAATCATGAAGTTCGTAAAATCTTAATATTTTGTAGAAATTTTGACAGAGTCTTCCCTGTAATTTGGACCTCCTGAAATTTCTATAATAGAAAAACCTGTCAGCCAATCCAACAAAGGAGACTAGCTCCACACTAACAGATTATATATCAGCACAATAAAACTAAGACCTAACTATGGTATATGTGAAGCTCAAAATTACAATTACATAAAACAATACATTTACATCAAAATAACTAGAACGTGCTTCCACTGTCCAAAAAGCGATACTGCCCCTCAATGATCAGTAGATAGGGTCATTTACAATATCTGAAACTAAAGAATTTTTTAATGACCAGCGTTCCAATCGAGATTATAAATTATAAATAATTAAAAATAAAACATGATAGGTAGTAACTAATAAATTTGGTTTAAATAAAACAAGAGAATAATGAGACTTACTTTAATTAACAACAAATGATGAGTTTACTCAATAGTATAACCATGAAACCAATAACAGCATTAAAACTAGATAAGTTTATCAAAAAATTTCTATTAAATATATATATATATATATATATATATATAAAGATTTCAAATAATGATGCAATTAAAAAAATTCCTTTAAAGAAGCAAAAATAAAATGATAAACTTTAAATCTCATATAGGAGGGCTTTATCAAAATAAATAACAAGCATGAATACATAATCCACAAGGGCACATAACTAATCAAGCACAGCTAAAAGCTATGAAACAAGTGCGACAAGAGCTACGAATCAAGTGCAGGCACGAGGCCTACAAAAACAAGCGTGAGTACAATATTCACGAATTACCATCCCTTCGATCCACATGCGTTAGCCTTCGTACAGGGCTAATACCTCCAACAAGTACCCTACTAGCTAGGCATACCATAGCACGCCAAGGGCTAATAGAACTACTATTAGCATCTAGCGTTTTGAATTCAATCCCCCTTATTAAAATTGAGCGTGCATGGAACAAGAATAAAATTTCAAAAAAATTTCCCTTTCAATTATATTGTTCAATTATCCATTTCTTATATTCATGTTCCTATCCTCCATGCACGAATCATTATTTTAAAAACTTCCATATCAAACATAGATTTTAGTAAATAAATTCCTTTTTAAAAAATAATATTGTTTGTCATATATCAACTTCAATCATTGTTTAGCAATAATATAAATCATAGGGGAAACCAAGAAATCGTCATTTATAAAACAATTATCATAAAGTAGAATCTGTAAAACATAGAATTTAGTAAATAAATTCCTTTTTTTAAAAAATATTGTTTGTCATATATCAACTTCAATCATTGTTTAGCAATAATATAAATCATAGGGGAAACCAAGAAATCATCATTTATAAAACAATTATCATAAAGTAGAATCTGCAAGAATGTTTATAAGAGAATAATATTAAACTTAAATAAAGGAATTGCTTAAACATTTTTCTAAAGCTTATTCGGAATGCTACCCACTCACCTAAGAGTTTTTCAAAAATTCTAAAGCTTGCTTCTCTTAACTTTTGACTTTTATTCTTATGATGCCCTTGATGTCCTGACAAATGAGTAAAATTCTAAATCAAATAATCTTCCAAGCATTTAATGGGTATTAATATTTAATACAATCGATACTAATAGTAATACTATAACTAATTATATTTTGAGTATACTTGAGTTAGTCAAATCATTTGAATACTCTAAATTTATTCTCGTACTAGCTTCCTTATGAATCATACTCATTAATAAATCATAATAAATCATATTGATTATTCTTAAGCTTTCTCTAGACAAAAAAGAGTAAAACAAGCATCCTACATAATTCTTTCTTCTTCTCCAATAACTTGAACCAAAACTTACATATACTTCTTTAAACTATAACATGAAAGTTTAATAACATTTAATCCACCAAATTCTCCTTTTACATATTTTTACAAATATCTTGGGGGCATGCATTTATTCTTGACCAATTTATGAGGGAGGCAACATGCAATTCTTCAACTTTCAAATTGTTAATTCTATACCCAAATTCAATTCAGCATCACAGTGTAACAATATCCAGCATTAAGCGACACATAAACCTCAACTCTTGCCCAAACGAAACTTAGTGGCAACAAGAAGGAATCAGCACGTTCTATATCGAAGAAAGAAAGCAGAATGTCTTCGGCGTTCTACAAAAAGAGAAGGAAGAAAACCAGAATTTTTTTTTTGGCCAGCAATGACAATCAAGCTGCCACACACACACACACACACACACACACAGAGAGAGAGAACTTCGACAATCAAGGAGGATGAAAAGAGACAGACTGAACATGCGTACACACACCTCTAACAGCCACAAAACGAAGCAGAAACGGGAAAGAAGATTCAACCTTTCAGCTGTTGTTGCACTCGAAGGCGGAGAAGAGAGGATAAATGATTTACCTCAATCTTAAGTGCAGTAGTGACAGCTTAGAGCCATCATGTAGTCGACGCTGATGAAGGAAAGAAAAATGCTCTGTTTTGCAGCTCGGACGATAAGGAAGAAGACCAGCAATCTTGACCCAGAAAGGACAGGATTTAAGCTTAACATTCACATATGCAAGACGCTCAGCAATTGAGAAACGAAAATAAGTGAAGCTAAACACACGCACGCACGGAAGCCAAACCTGAACAAACAAGCGAGAAGTGACAGCAAAGGAGAAAAATTTCGGGTAACTCCACTCTTCCAACTTCAAAGACGCACCTGTGAGACTAAGTGAAGGCCAGCAATGAGAAGGAGAGCAAGTCGAAGGTGCAAAGAAGAAACGACAGTGACGAGAAACGAAGTGCTCAAAGTCGGTGGAGAAAGGAAGTGAGGATGCTCTGCTTTCTTTTCTTTCTCGCAAAGATATAAGTCTGATGAAAGATTTTTGAGAAATTTGCAAGAAAGGGCCAAGGGAAAATTATAAGCAAAGCACAAATTTTTACAAAATTAAAAATAAAACCAAATTTTGTCAGTAAAATTTAAAATTTTTGAATTCTTAAGAAAATTGCAAGCATAATCCCCTGTGAACCACCATCCTTCACTAGCTATAGAACTAATTTAAATAAAACTTTAATTGAAAAAATAATTTAACTTAATTTAAAATTTAGGGTCATTACAAAATTGATTTGGGTTGCTATAATTGGAGATAAATATGAATTTTTTTTCCTTTAAAGTTAAAACTAAATTTTTATGTGCTGAAGGATGAGATTTGAGAATCTTGATTAATATAAATATTGATTCTTGGAAAAATTTAGAAAGGATATTGAGGAGGAAGAAGCTTAGTATTGGTTTGAATTTTAATGCATATGAGATGTTCAATAAAATGCTTGAAAGGAAGTTAGAATTAGAAATAGAGATGTTTGAGAAAAGTGGAAGATAAGGATTGTTTATGCTATTTCTTTGAAATTTTGGATTGAAGTTGTAGGAAGTCCAATAAAACCCTATTATATATTATAAGGAAATTGGAAGAGAAGAGAACTTGATATCATGGTTTTAAACAATAGTGCTTGCAAGGCATTTGGAATAATACTTGTTAGAAGAATCTGATATATTATGACGGGATTCTTGTGATGGTTGTATTGTTGTTAGTCAAAATATTATAGAAGACACTTTATAATAAAAATTGAGACAGAAATTAGAAATTTGTGGAATAGGTAATTTGATTGGTAATTCAAGAACTAGATGGCTATTGATATGTTAGTTTTTGGAATTTCTAAGGAATAATTGATGCAATGTTTGGGGGAAAAATATATCTATTCTTATCCTTGAATAAATTTAGGTTGTAAATTTTAGATTTGCAGAGTATATATAGGAAAATAACAATAGTATTATTTGGACAATAGGAATTTAAAGATCTCGAGTTGTTGCAAAAAGGGCTAATTTTGAAATAAGCTATATGCTTGGGAATTTATTAAGCAAGTAAATAGTGTTCCAACTGATTATCACTAAAATTCTCTTTCCAAAATATATAGATACACTTTTTTTACATAGATAATTTAATAACAATTATATTACATATTTAATATTTTATTAATTAAATTATTTTTATTTGAAAAATTGTAAAGAGATGTCAAATGATATTTGAATTATGGCATGTGTATGTGTTTTTTCTTATGAAAGATAATTTCAAAATTGATAAGATTATTTTTATCAACTATGAATATTTTTTTTGTTACTCAATAAATGCCAAACATGGATATTAGTTATGAAATTTAATTTTTGCAAGTTGTTAATGCTCAAAGCTATTCATGAGAGTTTGAATTGAGAATAGGAATTATATTTTTATAGTGATGATTTTCTCCCATGTTTGAAAATAAATTTGAAAGGAATTTATACATGACACTTGTTGCTAACAATAGTTCTGTTAGCCCTTGGTGGTGTTATGGTCAATGACTCGTTAGCTTAATTTTCATGAGCTCTGTTCTCACATTTATTATTTGTGAGTCTCATACTTACATTTGTTTTCGTGGCTTTGAGTCGTATTTAGTTAGTATATTACCCTCGTGGACTATGTGTTCACATTTGTTTTATGGCTCAGGCTGCATTTGGTTATTTAACATTATGAACTATGTGTCCACTTTGGTCTTCATGACATAAGCCACATTTGCTTATTTACTTTCATGGACTATGTGTCCACGTTTGTAAATTGTTCTGATAAATTCTCAGAGATATGAATTTTTAATTAATTGATGATTTCATACTTTAATGGTTTTTAATTAGCAAATGTTATTATTTTTATTTATGTATTTATTTAATCATTTTGACTTGTTAAGATCAAACGTTAAAGTTGTTTTGTCATTATAAATTTAAACATTCTTGATATTGAAGTGATATAGAACTTTTATTTTAAGTTTACAAATTTGTTTACATTGAATTGCTTTCTCTTTAATTTATGTATATGTTGTAGCTTATTCATTTTGAATTTGCAAAATGTTATGGTTGGAACGTTATTCACTAAAAATATTTTTGGTATCAAATAACTTGTACCTCCAACAAATCATTCAAGGAATTTTGCTACTGGATTGAAGGCTAGATGCCTTTTCAGTTAATCTCTATTTTGATATAAAATTCTAATCTATGTAGTATACTTTTATAAATAATGTTATAGGTGCTCCACATAGGCTATGGTTAGGGTCTTTATTTTGTTAAATACCTTGTCTACTGGCTAGAAGGAGCTGAGCTCGTAATTGTTATAATTTTGTTTGAAAATTTGTATTGTAGAATTTCAAGAGATTCCATTTACAGGGAAAATTCCGCCGGAATCTCCACAAAATATTAACGACTTCATTTAAATAAAAAGTATTTTTAAAAATAAAAAATTCTTAAATTAGGCTTAAGAGATATGCGTTTAGGTACATATCCTATGTTGGTCACTCCCATATTTTGGGGTGTGACAATAAAAGCTCTGATGTCCTGCACAGGAAATTATTGCACTTGTTTTTTCTTTGATAAAAAGTCCTTTATGCAAAGTCATTGCATTATCATGTCTAGTCATGCTGTTCGCTTTAAAAAATTTTTAAATAAATTTTAATATTATTGAACACGTGGTTCCACCAGAGATTGTGTCGTTCATTTTTTTCCCCTTTTGATAAAAAGCCTAATTTCACAAATGTAGATTAAGTTAAGACCTTTGTGCAAAATTATTGCATTATCATGTATAGTGATATCGTTTCCTTTAAAACTTTCTTTCAATTACAAAAAAAAGTTTAATTATTAGAGTACGTGATTCAACTATAGCAAGAAAATATACCATTTGAACCAAAGATTTCAAATTTGAGCATAAAAATGCATGCACCTTAAAAATTTAGGTCCCATTTAGTTGCTAGAAATTAAAGGAATAAAATAGATAGATTGAAAAAATAAAAATAAAGAAATATGATCAAAATGTGGAAGGGGTATAGATAAACTATATGTGTAAAGAAGGTAATTTAGTTTATATAGTTGAGAGTCAAAATTTATAAAATTTTTGAAGGGTATAATGATTCCTATATTCATGATGTATAATATTAAATTTTATTATACTTATTACTTATTAAGAGGAGGGAAAAAATTTAATTTATTTTTGTATTGATTTTTCAATCCATCCTATTTTTACAGATTCTTTCTAACAACAAAACGGGTCCTTGATGTTAGAACTTTTGACTTACGTGTATACGTTGCATCCTATCATTCCTATGCCTCTTATCTTTACTTGTTTTAAAAAATAAAAAATAAAAGGCCCAATGTTCACCAAAGTAGATAAAACTTTAATGTCCTACGCGAAAAAATTATTGCATCCACATGCAGAGTGTCATGTCATTTATTTTTTTATTAAAAAATGTATAATTTTATTTAAAAAATGGAAAAAATATAACTCTGAATTCTTACACTTTGTTCGAATTTTATTATTAATCCCTATACTTTTTTTCGACATTTTAGGTCCCTATACTTTTATCTGTTACTATTTTAGGTCCCTTCAATATCCCTAAAACTTTGTTCATGGAGGGACATAAAACAATGAAAAATAAATGTGTAAAAATTTAAAATACTAAAAAAAAATTCAGGGATTAATAGTAAAACTTGAGTGAAACATAAAGACCCAAAGTTATGTTTTTTTTAAAAAAAATGATATCTATATATGAAGTGTAAACATTAAAAAAATATTTCAAAAAATAAAGATATATATTTTGAATTTAAAAAGTCATCAACTGTTTTTCATAGACGTGATGCAACAAGGTCAAATTCAAAATTATTGGCCACTACTGCTTCCTTGTTTTGAATTAACTAAATATCATTTTCATAATGCTAGTAAAAAATAATACTCCCTTCATCTCAAATTATAAGATAATATTGAAGGTATTTTGTTATTCAAAATATAAGATAACTTGACAAAAATAAGTTTTTATTAATGACACTTTTCTAATATTATCGTTCAAGTGAAGAGAAAATTGAAATGATTATAAATTTAAAATTATATTAAAGGGTTTAAAGGATATTTTTCCCCTCAACTATTTACTTAGGAATGTTTGGCATCCTAAACTTATATTTGGCACAACTTTGCCTTTCAATATTTGAAAATAGTACACTAGGCACCCTACTATTAAAAAAGTTAACTTTGACATCTTGACTGAAAAATTACAAAAAAATTATATAGACCTAAAAATTGTAGAAAATGACCCATCATCACTAAAAAATGACATTTAGTAACATGTATTTTATAGCAATAAAAAAAATAAAATGTCACTGATGTTAAAGGTAAAGTAAAGAGGTGACATTTTTTATATCAAATGCCACTGCTCATAAATTACTTTTTTATTTATAATTTTAATAAATAACAAGAGGTGGCGTTTCAAACATGGCAAAACGCCACCTCTTTACTTTGTACTAAATTGATATTTTTTTAATAACTGAAAGCAAATTGAAAATGTCACCTCTCTGCTCCATTAAATAATTATTTAATTATAGATTATTTAATTAGTATACATTATTTATATATAATATATATATTATTTAATAATTAAAAGGCAAAGAAGGGACTTTTTTGAACTTAAAAATGCCAACTCTCTATTCTATATTAATTATTATTTTATTTATTAATTAAAAATTATTTTATTATAATTTATTTAATAATAATTTTAATAAGTACATCATATTATTTAACAAATAAGGCTATGGAATTGTGGCATTTGCTGAGTTTAAAAACATCACCTTTAAACTTTTTTATTAATTTTAGTATTTTATTTTATAGATTAAATAATATTTTATTATTATGTATTTAAGTAAAATTCATAATTATTATATATTAATATTTAATAAATTAATAAATTGAGAGAGGTGGCGTTTCCAAAGCTTAGAAAACGCTACCTCTCTTATTTTGTATTATTTAATTTTT